CTTTAGTGCATTATGAAACGCTTATAATGCACTTATTATGTGGCACATAGAGAGTGCTCAATAAATGTTATCTCCCATTATTATAATTATTGTGACCCCCATTTTTAGGGTTGATTTTATGCCCATAAATATTTTGGAAAAGCACAAAGTATAAAGGCAGTTGATAGTAATGTAATCTTTACAACACATGAGGGTTTAGATAATTATTTTCTCATAGAGAACTGGATGAAGTTTTATCTCTGGAGGGTTTTGATGTTAAAAGTTTCATATTCAATATATTTAAAACAATCACTTTGGCACATCACTTTGTACATTAACAGTATAACAATATTCACCTTTAGAAAATGTCCTTGACTTTGTTTAATCTAGAGTTTTCCCCAAACTCCTTGTCCAAACAATAGCATTCATAGCATACACCACCAATGTTATGGAACATTCTCTGGGAAACTCCGCTTTACGTCCTTAGGTTTAGAGTAGTTTTAATTTATCAGGGCTGGTACTGTTAGTGATTGTTAACTAAGCTCTAAACTCAAGTCTCCGATTGTCAAAGTCAGCTGAAATTGTGAGTATTACTATTTTTAAGAAAGTACACACAGTATTAATTATTTCAGGGAAATGTGTGATCACTTCAAAAGGATACTATTGAGAGTATTTTTCAAAATCAGATTAAACCAATTATCTAGATTTTTAAAAAGTACTTACTTGAAAGAAGCATTGTTTCTGTGAACTGTGCGGTGTGGGTGGGGCAGCCTCCAGAGACATTCCCAGTGAATCGCGTCTTCTCGCATTCACTCCCTTCCACGTTAAATCTGGGTTGGCTCCGCGCATTCATTTTAGTAGGAGAATGTGGAAGAGCTACACCCAAATCTTACGAAGGCCTGGCAGCTTCTGCTGTGTGGTTTTGGGACCCCGAGCCACCGTAGAAGTTCCGCTGGAGAAATCACATGGAAAGCAGGACAGACACTGGTACGGTGAAGAAAGGATGGCACATACAGTGGTCCAGCTTTCTGAGCATCCTCTCTCAACAGGGAGAAGATGGACAAAAGGCGTCAGCCGTCTTTTCTGCTCTGACAAGGGCCTGCCTGTGGCTGAGCCAACATGGCCACTGCAGACTAATCTTCAGAAGACTGCAGCCCCAGTCCAGAGCACATGGGTCAGCTCCCAGCTGAATCCAATCAACCGCAGACTCGTGATAGATAATAAAGTAGTTGTTACTCCGGGCCGCTAGCTCTTGCAATGGCTCGTTACACAGAAAACCAGAGGCTGGTGTGGATGAGTGTCCAGGACAGTATCCAAGGAGCTCCTCTTCATTTCCTCTCCTAATCACTAGTTGAACGCAATAAAATTTGTTCTTCAGTTCCCTTTGATAATTCTGTGCTCACTGGGTTTGCAAGATCTTAAAAAGACAAAAAAGGCACAAAAATAGTTCAAAAATGGCCAAAAGCTATCTGTGATCACTCATTTTTATGTCAGAACTTTTCTTCTTCAGAGAAACTTGATAATCTAAAAATAAATTTTTTCTGTCCCAACTTTAATTTTAAGGACAATAAACAGATAAGGAAAACAAGTTTCATGTTTAGTTAGCAAAAATTTTGCCTGTGTCATTATCATAGACTTATTTCCAGGTCAGCTCCTGAGGTACCATTTTTTGCTCGAGGCTGATGACTCCCATTTAAAAAGCAATCAAAATTAGAGACAGAACTGTAACTCACGGGTGTCTTCTTACCATGAGACACTGGAGAGACGGAGGGCAGAGAACGAGGTGTCAAGGCCGAGTGTGCTGCTCACGGGCCGGCTGGAAGAGAAAGTACCTTTCAGAAGTAGGACAGGATTTGTTTGCTAGCTGGGTTTTAGTGACGGCTCTGGGCATAGAACTTTGATGAGCAGGGACAATGGCAAGACAGGAGGCAAGGAAGCTTGTAGACAGTGAATTCATGATATAAAACTTTGATATGTTACCAAAACTATAGGCATAAACTTTTTCTTACACAGGCAGACTTATGTTTCTTTTGACTGTGACTTTTTCTTTTTTAGGTTTTCTGAGACAGGGCCTCAGTTCAATTCAGGCTGGTTTTGAACTCACTATGTAGCCTATGCTGGCCTCAGACTCCAAGCAATCCTCCTGCCTCAGCTTTCCAAATGCTGGGATTACAGGTGGGCACCACCACGCCCAGCTTGATTGCAACTCTAAAGAAATTGAGTCATACATCCCTTGACATTTACTTGGGTTACATGAAAAGTCACCACCTGATCAATAAATAACTAAATGAAAGACATTATCTTAAATTCTGTGTAGGGAAGGAGAGTAAAAATTGGCAAGTTCTTAAATTATTGGCAATCTAATAGGAAACCTAGAGAAGTGTATTCAACTATGTTAACAGAATATCAGTAGAGCGTCATATAGTAGACTGACATATAGCAGAATGTTATAGCTACATTAAGATTAGCAATGAAAGCTCAGCTACTCCTAAAACGGGATGATTATGCCATCTCTGACAATCAGTTTGCATGAATGAATGTACAGAGATCTGCATTTTCTAGGAGAAGAACTGGATTGTTTTTCCCTTCCTAGTCTGTCTGGAAGAGCTCCAGACAGAAGAAAAAAAGAAGAGGCCTGTGGAGAGGGCTGAATTCTTTCCTCTTCTGCTGTGTCTGCTGGACTGGTCTAGAGTCTGCTCAGTGAGGTACTCAGCACTTTAAGAGCTTGTTTCATAAAGATCTTTTCAAAATATCCAGCCATGGGGGTCCCATTAGCAAAGTATATATCCCAGTGATGAGTCCTGTGTACAGTGCCCATGCAGTATCTAGAAAAGAGGAGATGGCCAGCAATAACACACACAAAAACCACGGCACATTTGGGTTGTAGGAAGTCACACCTCTGGGCTAGATGGAGCTAGGCATGATGCACACCATTAGTACCAGCAGCAAAGAGGAGCTTTTAAGGAATTTACTGGAAAGAGAAGGAGAGCGATCTGGAAAAGAAAAGGAAGGAAAGTGATGGGCACCAGAGGGACCAACTTGTTCACAGCACATGTGAAATACTTGGGAGCTCAAAGGATTCATGCTGGCGGATGGGAGGGAGAAGCCGTGGAAGATGCAGCTGATTAGTATGTTCCAGAAGCTGTGGGCAAGCACAGGAAGTTCATCTCATGAGTATTAAATGACTTCATCAGGATCCACTGTTTGATGAGAGCTGAGGGTACTTGGATTACATAAGGTACCATGTAGTAAGGAAAATTCTGAAGACATTCTGTGTTGCAGAAGTTAAAAACAAAGTAAGACAAATGCAGACAGGAAGAAACCCTACGCACAGCTTCAGTACGGTCGTGCCTTACTAGTACACAGAACGAGATGTTGGAAAATAATGCCAAAGGGAAGGCTCTAGGTTTCATGTTATTGACTTCTGGTTTTAATATGTGAACTTTCAACAGCAAACACTGTGTTTGGACCATGCCCTCTCGAGAGGGGGGCAGGGATGACTGTCTTTCTTTTGCTGGACAGCCACTCTAGCGATATAAACTCCTGGGGTATTGTTTCGCCTTAATCACAGTACAGTGCATCCCCATGAAAATCTAGGCCAATTTAGTTTGAAGCAGAGCCCGGAAATGCTCTTTCACAATGTACATTTAAGAGGTTTTCTTTGGGCTTAAGTAGTTACATAGTGAATTCTGTTCTCAGACATCCTCTTCTTCCAAGGTCAGGAGGCAGTGACTCCACTTGGCAGTCCTCTATACTCTGGAGCAAAACCTGCACCAACAGCATAAAAACCCAGACAGAAGTTAAATCACCTGCACAGGAAAATTATATGCACAGATATGTCTATGGCACTGTCATGACTTGTGTCTAGATGCGCCGCAAAGCCTCATGCAGTGGGGCTTTCTCAGAGAGGAATGAATCCAGAATGTGTGATGCTGGGATTGATTCACGGTACAACGCTAGGCTCCAAGGGCACCAGAACTGAGGGTGTGAGTGCCACCCACCCCAAGTAGCCTGGATAAGGTATAAGGAATAGAAAGAGCTGTGCCAGGCGTGGTGGCGCACACCTGTGATCTCAGCACTCCGGAGGCTGAGGCAGGAGGATCACTGTGAGTTCAAGGCCCACCTGGGCTACAAAGTGAGTTCAAGGCCAGCCTGAGCTACCATAGTGAAATCCTGTCTCAAAAAGGTAAAAAAAAAAAAAAAAAAAAAAAAAAAGAAGTGTGGCCAGGTGTGGTGGCACACACCCGTAATCCCAGCACTCAGGAGGCTGAGGCAGGTGGATCCTTGCGAGTTCGAGACAGCCTGAGGTACAAAGTGAGTTCAAGGCCAGCCTGAACTGCATAATGAGACCCTGTCTCAAAAAGACAAAAAAAAAAAAAAAAGTAGAAAGAGCTGTAGTTGTCCCTTGTTGCTTTGCTACCTTCTGCACCCCATGAACTGTTTCTCCTCTGTGATGTCTGTCTGCCCCACCACCCTGCCTTGGAGCCAGCCCACTGTGGACTGAAACCTCTACGAACTGTGAGCTAAGTAAACCTTTCACCTTTAACTTTGAGAGTCAGGTATTTTATCTCAGTAATGAAAGAAAAGAGACTAAGAATTTGGTAGAAAAAGTGGGGTTGTGCTGCGCCTATACCTGATCTTGTGGTTTAGAAGCCTTCGGAGCTTGTTTGTGGGAAGAGTTTGGAAAGGTTTAGAGACGCCAGCTGAACAAGTACAGCTGGATTTATTTTTCCATTTTACTTGTGCAAGATCCCAGCCTGACAAAGACAACTTTACTATTAGAAACTTCAGGATTTGATGGGTTTTATTCATAGGCTCAACCTAGATGGCAGTCATTTTCTTGATTCTTATGCTCAGTAAGTGTTTATGTATGACTATCTCAAAAAGGGATTAACAAGAAAAAGACCCGGGAGTATACCTTAATATATTGCATCTTTGCTTTTGCATACATGTGTTTTATTTTGGGCCATATTTTTTTTCCATTCTTGCTAAGAGTGAAGGAAAGACATCATGGATTACAGTGCCATTTCTGGAAGCTCTTTTTTAATAGGCATTAAGCAAGCCAAACAGATGCATCTTAAAAATAGTTAATGAGTAATACACACAGTATTTATGTTCCCAGTAAGGTACAGCAATCAATCTTTGTTAATCAGCAGCTAACACCTTGGTGAACTGTGTTGATGAATTGTTTGAAAGAAGGTTTCTTGAATCATAATGATCATTTCAAATACCACATCTAATGAAAGTTTCATTTTAATGATGACCCCGATGGCTCAGCGGTTGGCAAGAAAAGATCTTAAGCCTGAACTGAATGAAGGAGGGTCGGCAGAAGGGGAGGGAGCAGTGTGGTACTGTATGTTGCTCACTTCTGGGCCTTGTGGCCTGTGATGTGGTTCAAACTTCATCCTGGAACATATTCTGTACTGGGCCATGGAAAAGACATTTCCTGTCTCTAAGCCTCATTTTCCTCATCTGTCAGGGAAGTACGGTTTTATTATAGAGGTTATGTAAAAGGACGCACCCAGAGGACCAAGCGCACTGCAGGGTGGGGTCACTTGTGGTAAGTGGAGGTGTAAGTGGTGAGAACCATGGTCCATGGCTGTCGACTTCACAACCTCATCATGTTTCTGAAATTCCTGTCCATGAGTTTAATTGGGATGCAGAACAAAACTACAGAAAATGCCAGACCCTTCATCTCCACGCCTCCCGTGTCACTGTGTAACCTAGGCTCAGCCAATCAGAAATGGTCACACACACTGAGTCAGGAGTTAGGGTCACAAAGGGACAGGGTAGAAGAATGCATCCCGGTGGAACGCAGTGGCAGTGATGACAGCTCGTGTTTTCTGTGAGGCACTGGGGCGGCAATGCTTTGGAGGCTTCCAGAGCTGTCTTTGATAGGAGCACTGCAAGCTGCGAGAGATAGGGCACAGCAGCAGGGCAGCAGGTCCTCTCTGTAATGTGAAATGCCGTCTTACCTGCAGCATGAACTCCTTGTCCCTGCCAGATTTCACAAAGATGAGATGAACTAGCTGATGCCATTCCAATAAATTCATTTTCTCTGCAAGTCAGAAAGCACTTGTTCCCGCTGTTTAGCCTTAGGAACTATAACTGGGTAGAATGGTCACCATGTCAGCTTGTAAGCTAGTTTTTTGTGAATTAACTTGGAAATGTATTCTGGAAGGAATGTTATTTTATCTGAATTAATAAACACCAATGAAGACAGCGAGCATGTTTGCCCTATTCACTCGTATACTCAGCTCCTAGAAAACATCTGGCTGTATAGTCATTCCCTACCAAATATTGACAGAAATGGGAGAATCAAGGGTGGAGATCCAGCAATTACAATGGCATTTATAATCTCCTCTTCAAAGGGGCAACACAAACATAAAGCAACCATAATCTGGCGCTCTTGCTACAGAAGACAGAAGTTGAAAAAAATATACTGCTTGCTACTTCTTTATTCACAAGGATGAGCATTTCTTAAAAATTAGGGGGAAATTATCTGAGACAGGAATTTTAATACTTACAGTTTTGTTAATGTGGAAGTAGAGAAATCAAAATACACCCTACTTGACACAAAATGAACAGATTTCCACTGCCAAAAGCATGTACACATTCAAGCTCTAAACTATGACACACCTCTCTCCTATGGCCTGGCACTATTGTCTTTCAGTGTGTATTCAAATTCTGTCTAATAAACCTCGTTATTCCTATGAATGACATGTCTTGAAATTTTTTTCTGTAATGGAAGTCGGCAAACCTTCAGCCCGTCCCATGGTGGGATGAGTCAAGGTTCCCTGCCTCAGCCTCCTAGATGCTGAGATTACAGATGTGGTCCATCATGTGTGGCCAATTGATTGTATTTTTTTTTTTTTTTTTTTTTTGGTACTAAGATTCAAACTCAGGACTTTGTTCTTGCCAAACAGGCACTGTGCCCCTGAGCTATATCCCAGCCCAACACAGGTCTTACTTTGACTTAACCTTAAACACCCAGCAGGAAAGTATGACCAAAATTTAAAATGGAGTAATTAATGTGCCCTTGAGCTATGTCCCCAGCCCCATTTAATAGTAATATAAAGACAAAAGAAGTTAGGCTAGATATAAAAAGGGACTCCAGATACTGCACTAGCCCCTACTGGCCATCTCCAGCTATGATGATGGCATTATCGTCCACAGCCAGGAGACATGGTCATTCCCATTCCCACCAGCTCTTCCGAAAATGTATCCTTAACCACTTACCAGTCCAATTTTTAAAGTACAGGTTGACAAAAAATTGCATGCATTTGTTAATTTTTATAAGATATTATGACAGGAAATATAAAAATGGCAATTTTATCAAATTTAATAATTTTCCCATATGCTCTATCCTAAAAGATTCAATGCACATTACCATCTGGTCTGCACTATCTGGTCTCTTTCCGAATTTTTTTTGCATTACTGTCTTTCTTTGAACAACACCTTTTACACTGTTGTGGGGGATACAATTTCAGTGAAATGTTTACCCACTAACACAATTGTGAAGACGCTGATGGTTGACCTCCTTGTTGGCATTTTGCTAGCCCATGTTTTTCAATTATTTGGTCTACTAGACCTAATCTAAAATGTAAATGACTTTTTGAATCCCCTTGCTTTGGATAAGTAACAAACAAGTTCCATATTGTCTGGCCCAGAAGGTGCGTAACTATTTTATAATAATTTTTATCCCTGCTTTTTGATGACAGGCCAGCTTGTTAGAGGTAGTCATCTCTGTCAACACCACCCAGAGAATATTCAAGTCATTGACCACTATTGGAATTGTTTAGTTTCATTTCTTCTTTCAAGTTCTGTCATTCTGTATTATGAATAGTCAACAACAAGGAGACATCTCTTTGTCTTTTCCTTATAGAACACAGACTTTTCCCCTCTGCTATGCCAACATTTCTCCCTTTCCTTGTTTCTTCTCTGCCGATCTTTTGGCGCTTCCTCCCTATTCAGTCCCAGTGTCCCAAACATGGCCATGTTCTTCTGTCAAAGCACATCAGTGAGTTCTGGAGAAGTATAAAAATTATACCTAATGTACTCCAGGTAAGAGTGTTTATAGATTGTAGCACAAAATTATATATTATTTTTCACAAATAAAGTAAACATGAATTAATGAAAATAAACACACATTGTGAACAGATTGCACTAGAAACAAATGTCAAAGGCAAATACACCATTCTAAATAAAATTATATGATGGTCAATGATAGCAATAATATAAAACAAGTATACATACAAGTGTATCTCATGCAAACAAGAATCAACTGGTTGAAATGATGCCTGCCCAAGCAACACTTGGGAGAGTCGGTCTGGTAAACTACTAAGTGGTTAAGCCACTCTTAGTATATTGTCATTATGTTGTTTATTTTTTCGTTTTTAAAATTAGTACATTTGTGATACATAATGAATATGCTATTTTGATGTACTTTCAAGTATAAGGGAGAGATTTGATTTCATGTATAGGTATATTTACAGAATAAAAATATTGATACATTAATACCTCAGTTCACAAATGCTTTTGTTTGCAAACAATTCAGTTTGCAAAACGAAAAAGTTTCCAGTAAAACTTTGCTTTGATTCACAAACTCCACATCAGTTGACAAACACAACCATGGCCACCTTCCCCACACAAGCACAAGCACAAACACAACCATCTTCCCCAAAATCAGTTCACAAACTGAGGTACCACTGTATAAATATTGTAGCTACTAAGCTTTGTTAATTTTGTGATATAAATCGTCTTTCTGTATTCTACTTCAGACCTCATGTGTTCATCTTCTGGATCCAGTGATCACATTTTCTATTTTGTACACCTGATCCAGGTCTTCAAGTCTACAAATAGAGAACAGATAACAGGTTCTGAGTGGTACAGTAAGGATTTTAATGGCTCAATGGTCATACAAATGTAGGTATACTCACTTGGTGTAACTTTGGCCATTGTTATAATATAAAATAAAATTAAAAATTAAAATATAATTAAAATTAACAATGGCCATTGTTATAATTAATTATAATTGACTGTCTTACTGACAAGTAGAGAGGAGTCTGTATGCTCTGAAACCCCACCTGCTGTTCTTGGGTAAACGGCATGAAATAAATATGAAATTTGTTTAATATTAAGGCTAAAAGGTTAATATTAAAGATAAAAGGGTTATGACAAATGCTGCCTAATTTTGTCCTGTTTCTACCACTTTTTGGAACCAATGTTCTGCTTCTGATTTTGGGCTCCTGCTTGTTTAACATGGTTATAAAATGAAACTTAGAGTTCAAGGATGTGCTAGGGATTTTGTTCTTTTTTCAGACTATCTAAGGAAGATGGTTCCTCAAACACAAAACATCTTCCTTTGTCTCTTTAGACTTTTGGTCCCTGGCTAGGGCGGCTCAGCCCCACCTCAGCCTGAAGCAGCCCTCAGAGATGGATGTTTGGCCCCTGTGCACCCTTCAGAATAATGTGTCAAAGGCTGGGGGCGGGGATGAGGTAGGACTAAAGAAATAAAAATACGTAAAAATGGAATAAGGAAAGCCGTTACTTAAAAATTGTACTTTTAAGAAGACACAAGCTTCAGGACACAATCAAATTTACCCAAAGTTAGCTGTATCTGTGCTCCTTAAGCTTATTTTTGGTTCTTTATTTTCCAGGCCCATCACATACAAATCCCCTTAAAGCTATTTTTAGTCCATAAGTTAAGTTAGGTAAGATGCAGAAACTTGACCTTAGGAAGTAGAATAGATTACGCCATCGTTTCTCCTTCGCAATGGGCCATTATATTTATTCCTGCTGGGGGTCACTACCTTCCTCCTATCAGCCAAGTCCAAACTTTTCATATAGTCACAAATTCTACAAATTTTCATTACCAAAAGCATAAATATTCCCAGCTACAGACTATAATGCATACTCTCTTGAGGACCCACACTCTTTGTGTACTTTAAATTCTGCCTTATAAACCCCTTAATGCCTCTTAAAAATATACCCCTCTCTTGACAGCTAGCTGAGTGATATGTAAGAAATATGTTCTTTGACTGCCAAGAGTAAACGGCTGATCCTCTATGGCAGTGGTCCCCAAACTTTTTGACACCAGGAACTGGTTTCATGAAGATAGTGTTCCACAGATCAGGGGGTAGGGGTGGTTTTGAGATGATTCAAGTAAATTACCTTTATTGTGCATTTTATTTCTGTTATTACATTGTAATATATAAGAAATAATTTTTGATTAAAGAAATAATTATACAACTCACCAAAATACAGGATAAGATAAATAAAACAATGGGCAGGCCATACAAAAACCAAAATAAATGCAAGATTCTGACTTAAAGCTTGCCACTATATGTACCTTAACTGTCACATGCCACTCACTCACTCATCGTTTTGATGAGTCTGTAAACAGTTGATCCATTATACTCTCTGCCCAGTCAAGCCTCTCTGCTAGTGTATCTTTCTTTACGGCTGAGTAGTAATCCTTTGTATAAAAACCCTACTTCTTTATTCATTCATTGGTGATGGGTACTTGGGCTGTTTCCCACATTCAGCTACTACAAACTGTGCTGCCATAAACATAGGTGCAGCTATCTCTATTGCATGCTGCTCTTAATTCTTTCACAAAGATACCAAGAAGGAAGATAACTGAGTCAAACTGAACCTCCTGTCCTAGGTTACTGAGGAATCTCCACACTGATTTCCACAGTGGTTGCACCAGTCTGCACTCCCACCAGCCGTGGAGAAGGGTCCTTTTTCCCCACAGCCTCCCCAGCATTTGTTGTTTGTTGATTTCTTGATGATGGCCGTTCTTTCTGGAGTGCGATGAAATCTCAGCATTGTTTTAATTTGCATCTCTTGACAGACTAATGATGTTGAATATTTTTTCATATATTTATTTGTTGTTTGTACTTCTTCATCTGAGAAGTGTCTATTCATCTCAGATGCCCATTTTTGGACTGGGTTTTTAAATTTGAGGGCTCTGACGTTCTTTAGCTCTTTACATGGTCTAGATAGTAGTCCTTTGTCTGAGGAAAAACTGACAAAAATTTTTTCTCCTCTCTGTGAGTTGTCTCTTCACTCTGTTGGTGATTTCTTTTGGGGTGCAAAACCTTTTTAATAAGATTAATGTATGCACCTCGAAACCATACTCTTAAGTGAAATGAATCAGACACACGTGTAAATATCACATTGTCTCTCTGGTGTGAGAAACTGATAATGCAAATAAGGACCAAACTATATAATAGATATTGTGAAATAAGAAGAAATGGTTCAAATGAGACAGGAACCTAGGGAATGGGGAGGGGAAAAGGAAGAAGGGAAAAGAAAAAAAGAAGAAAAGGATTTAAGCAAAGCCTTTATAAATAAAAATTTTATAAATAAGAATAATCTATATTTGCCATTATCCACCTCAGCTCCAGCACAGATCAGGTGTATTCTCATAAGGAGCACACAGCCTGGATTTGTCACATGTGCAGTTCCCAGTCGGACTCACATTCTATGAGAGTGTAACCTGCCCCTGGTGTGACAGGAGGTGGGACTAAGGGAGGAAATTGCACGACGGCCAGTGGCTACACATACAGATGGATTTTTGAGTACTCACTCAACACTCACCTCCTCCTATGTGGCTGGTTCCTAACAGACCAAAGTCTGTGGCTGAGAGTTTGGGGACCTCTGCTCTACAGTGTATTCTGTTGCTAAATTAGGATGTTTACAGGGTAGTTATATTAACTGCATCTGCAAATTACAACAATGTACTTTCAATTTCTGATAGGTTTATGGAGATGTAACCCCAGGGCAAGTTGTGACCGAGTCCCTGCTTTCCCTCACTAAACACTGAAGGGAACCTCAAACTTTAAAATTGGGGTAAGGTTGTGTTATACAATTAACACTGGTTATTGCCTGGCTGGAGCACAGAAATACCCTCTCTGGCAGGAGGTAACTTTATTTTATGCCTCAAACTGTTTATACAAATAATTTTACCAATGCACACGAGGTAAAGAAACCACAAGCAAGAGGCAACCAAAAATACCAGACATCAGAACCATCACAGACCTTGACATCAGAATCAGCAGACAAGGGTCATACGCAGTGTTTGGGATATTCAAGGGGATAAAAAAGATCAGCATAAAATTTGAAGGAGCAGAAAACATAACCTTCCATAAAACAAAGATAGAATCCTAGAGCTAGAAATGATGGCAATAAAACTTAAAATTTAGTGGACAATTTTAGAAGCAAATTAAATAGCCAAAGAGAGGAAGATGGGTTAGAATAATAAAGCCAGAAAGAAGCATGGAGCCACAAAAAGATGAAAAATGTAGAAAAGAAAGCAAAATACCTACAATATGGGAGATGTTTTAACATATTTTTAACCTGGAAGAGAGAAGTTGGAAATGTGGCAGTGGCAATTTAGAGGTAATGTGTTAGAATTGCCCGGAACTGATGAACGATATCAGCTCACAATACGAAGCTTAACAAATCTAAAGTATGACTTCAAAAAAGAGAAAGCAACATCCTCACAGAGGATTATAGTAAAGGAAAACTGAACAGCAGGCTGAGATTTTCTTCAGAGGAACGGCAGCTGGACACGCTCCTGGCTTCTCTCGGGAGCACAGAAGGTAGAAGGAGGCAGAATACCTGCAGTGGCTGCGAACAAGACACAGCCGCGTGCTTCCAAACATCCGGTCACCAGTGGGCCATGGACTCGACAGAGGCCTCGTGACAGCGTATCTCCAGGAGGAGCCACGATCCTCCTCCACCATGTGAGTGTGGGCTGATGTTTCCTCGATGACAGAATCACACTGCAGCACACTTCTCGGGATGTGTCTTGGTTACTAATTGACCTAAGGCCACAGCTTCCAATTTTATTCCTTGAAAATATTCTACAAGAAAGGAGGCAAAAGGAAATAGATATTTCCAGACACTCAAACACTGAGAGATTTTGCCAAAAATCAATCTGCACTAAAGTATATTTTAAAGGTAAATTTTAGAAAAATTATTCCAGATGAAAGGTCAGAGATGCAGGAATGAATAAAGAGCAAAGAAAATGGTAAATATGTTTGTAAATCTGCATGAAAGTGGAGCATTTAACAAAATGTGAAAATTGTAAATTATGGAGACAGAGACGGAGATGGAGAGAGGGAAAACTACACTGCATATAAGTGGGAGGGAATGAATTAAGCTCAAAGAAGAACTCCAGCATGCAGAGCAAGGAGGGTGAATGGACATGAAATTTGACATTAGGCCTTGGCAAGGCACAGAAGGGTGTTGTCATTTCTACAACTATTAAAGACAAAAAGCATATAACTGTCAAACTCCTAGTTGGAAAAAAATAGCATCAAGAAAAGTAATGGTGGTGGTTCGGGTGAAGTTTCAAGTTGATTAGCTCAAGGATCCGCCCCCGGGTTCGTGGCACACTCGAGTCCCTGAGTGGGCTGTGGCAGTGCGGTCTTCGGGTCTGTGTCTGGTTCCTCACTCCTGCACTCGGGCTCTTCCCCCCCACCCCACCCCCACTGTGTCCTGGCTGCCGTGAGCTGAGCTGTTTGCTCCACCAGGCCCTTCCAGCTTGATGTCTCTACCTTGGAAGCAGCTGATCGTGGACTGAAAGCAGGACAAATTACACCTTTCCTTCGTGACCAAAGGATGTTTTATGAGTGTTGGGTATTTTGTCCGGCAAGGGGAAAGCTGACTGATACAGTAATCAGTTCACAGATACCAAGAAAAGGGAGGAAAAGAAAAAAAATGTGTAACTTGAAAACTATTAGTAATTGCACGAAACGTAACAGAAGTATTGTTCTAGTCAAAAGGAAACCATTATCCAAATAGATTTAAAATAACGTAATGTTTAAATAGAGGTAGCTTAAAAATATGGAAGGAAAAAATCTACCAGGAAAGCATTAATTAAAGCTATTGTAGCCATACATAAGACAGAGTAATACAGAAAACAAAGTTACTTTAAAATAATTAAAAATCAGTTCACAAGAAAGATAGGAGAATTTGCTATTTGTATACACTTAAGAAGATTTCAAAAGGAATATATGTGTCCAGAAAAAGACAAAATCCCAATCACAGTGGGAAATTTTTAATACAACTTTTCCTATAATATAGGTAATAAGCAGATGAAAATTTGTGAAATGTAGAAAATTTGAAGACACCATTAGCAAACTTAATCTTGGACATATTTAAATACTATGCTCAGCAAAGGTCAAACACATTCTTTTAAGAACACATAGATGATTGATAAAATTAATTCAACACTTGACATTATCACACAAATTTGGTATAATTAGGCTGAAGAATCAATAATAAAGAGGCCAACAAAATCTTCATATGCTTTGGAGTTAAAAATATAATAGCCTAAGTCAAGGAATACATTACAATAAAACTTAGGAAATATTTTGCACCCAATGATAAAATATTTGATACCAAAATTTGTGGGATATGGCTAAAGCAGTAATTCGTAAAAACTAAAATGAATTTATTAGAAAGTGGGAAAGCCCCACCACAAACGAGCTGACTTACCACTTCAATTAATAAGACAATAAAGCAAGAAGTTCGTCCTTGGGTAAGGCTCACCGATCAAGGGAAAAGAGAAGGACAAGTAGCTGACACCCAGAAGTGAAATGCTGTGTAGAACATATTGTTGAGAGGATAATGAGGATATTAAAAGCAGTAACATGCCAAGTAGTGAAAATGTGGATGCAACGCACGCACTGGTATGAAGGTACAACTTAGCAGTAAATAGGAAGCCTAGCTACTCTTATTCCCATTTGTGTTGCCCATTTGTGTTGCTAGATGAAAACACCACAGATGTGGTGACTGATAACTGTAAAAGTTTATCTCTCACAGTTTTCCAGAAGCTGGAAAATCCAGGGTCAAGGTTCTGGCAGGGTGCGTGTCGGCGAGGGCTGCTCTCTCTTCCCGGGGGGTGCTTGTTGTCAGTCCTCTGTGTGCAGGAAAGTTGTGCCTTACGTGATGGAGGATAAGAAGGTAAACCCACACTCCAGAGCCCCTTTATAAGGGCCCTAACCCTGATAAGGGGTACGATCACTCTTCACAGTCTCACCTATTAATACTATCACGTAGGTGACTGAGTTTCCTCCTAAGACTTTTGGGGAACACAGTCAGACCACGGCATTATTGAAACCAATAGTTCTAAAGCTTTCTATAGCGCTAAGCGCAGGTCTGATCATATTTACCAATCAAGAGCAAATGCAGACACCAAACAACCGGAAGTACTTTCTTCACCATCACCTGCAAAACTCTCCAAGGGATGTGAATGTGTTTTCCTCACACATCGCAAAACTTTCACTTGGCCAGGCTACAGAAGAAGGAGCACACTGTGGGCTTCTGTGCTGCATTTCATTCCTTTAAAAAGATGAAGTCAAATGCACTTCTTTACTTGTCTGATGTAACCGAGTCTCCCAACACTCAGGATACAACAAGCAGGGAAGAGCAGAGAGGGACCCTCGGTTCTTCTGTCAATCTCTCCAGAGACATGTGGCCTTTCCTGGAGTGGAGATGAAGGAATTCTGGTCCTGGAGAACAGAGCTTGGCCTGGAAGTGGAGGGGGAGAGGAGGCTGTGGAGGAGGCCAGCAGGAGACACTTCTGGGGCACCACTGGTGCATGAGCCCGGGGCAGACTTTACTCTCCCCAGACAGGTTTACATAGTCACTGCAGCGTGTGTGTGTGTGTGTGTGTGTGTGTGTGTGTGTGTGTGTATGTGTGTACACTGAAACGCTAATTTGTTAAGTATTAACATCTAAAAAACTATCAACATTTTCCTGGTCACATTTTGGCATTAATTAATTTTAACAGTTCAAAAAATGGAAGTCACCACCCTCTGAGGTTCTGACTGAAGGAGTCAGCAGCAGGGGGATGAATGAGGGAGATGCCCCTTGAGATATTTCACTTACTGAGTGGGTCACATTCAGAAGGGCCTTGAAACTCCCGATTAACCCACCCAGCACAGAGCTTTGTTCTGTTGCGCTTGCTTGGTGTTAACTTTCTCATCCACCTGCTGCCCAAGAGACAAATCTGGGGATTGTTTAGACTCTCCCAGCTCTCTGGCGCCCAGCTTCTCCGCATTCCAGGCCCTACAAGGCCGTAGTAACACTGCTTACTTAGAAAGCGCTTCCGTGAGGAGGCCTGGCCGACGCCCTGAGCTCATTCCACTGCCCTTGCGCTCAGCCGCCAATGCTGCTCTAGTCAGAAAGCCCTGTGCCTCCTCTAGGGTGTGCACACACCTTGCCACAGAGTGCTCTAGAGAAGTAAAGTCAACGTTCAGTTCTTACTAGAATCTGAGAGCAAGCCCAACTTCCTTAGACACCACTGACCACTGTTACTGGAAATGACAGCAATTTAAAGAGAACTTTATATAAGCTTTATCTTAACTATTTTGTTTTAATATCTAGATCTTAGGTAGCTTGTGATAATGAACCTATTTTTCTCTCCAATTTTTACTGAAAACTGACAGTCATATTCAGTGTTTTCTAACTTATTTGTATACCTGTCTTCGTGGAATAGCATCATTAAAATGTTTATAATATAGGTGTAAACACTTAGGCTCAGTTTGACACTTTTCTTCATCTCTGTGCTGGTATCCTATTCATCTATAGGTTTGTTTGTTCATAGCTATTTCTTTCACCTACTAGAATGTAAGTTTGATAGTACTGAAAATTTATATCTTTCATGATTACAACTATATTCTTATCATCTAATAGTAGGCCATGGCATATAGTAGGTGATCAATAAACATTTGTTCAATGAAGGAAATATATAAACAACCAGTCTTGGCCATGTCCTTTGGTACTCCTGAGGAAATAGAGGTAAAAGAAATAATTCTGATATCATGGCCCTCACAGTATGGAGTCTGATTTGAAATGTAGCTTTATAATCATGAAGTTCATGGTTTCCAGAACTGGCAGGATATTTATACAAAGGGAGTTGAAATATAAAGAAGATGCTCCTAACATGGCCCAAGATACCTGCCTTTCATGCTCGTGTGAAATTCCTCCCGCCAGAGTTCTAGCCACACCTTGTGGCTGGCTCCTCAGAGAAAGAACATGACAAAGATGACGGGGTGCCAGCTCCAAGATTAGGTTACACAGAGATCGTGACCTGGCTCTCTGCCCCTCTTACACCCTTTGTTCTGATGGGAAGCTGCCTGTCATGCTGTGAGTGTCCATGGGGAAGGACACAAGGCAGAAAACCGAGCCAGGGAGCCGATGAAGAGCGGAGACCCTCGGACCAACCGGTCACAACGACGTGGGAGCTTGGAAGCAGGTTTTGAGCCAGTCAAGTCTTTGGATGAGAACGCAGTCACGGACACTGACTTGACTGCACCTCCAGAAAGACCTCAATCCAGAGACACCTTGTAGTTACACACTAACTCTTGACCCACAGAAAATCTTATGTAATGTGTTTGTTGTTAAAGCCACTATGCTTTGGGATATCTATGTTATGCAGCAATATGTCACTAGTACAGAGACCCACAGTCTAAGCATAATTTTCCCAAGTTCATACCTCATTAAGGTAGCAGTGAACTCCATCTAGAATTCACATCACTTATTTCCAGGACTTTTCATGTACAACCCCCACACTCACATCTTGCTGCAAAGAAAGCAGAAAAAGAAGTAAAGCAGCAAAAGCAGGAAAGACATTTGAGGATGGAAGATTCCTTTACCATCTCCTCTTCTTAAAAGCACATCAGAAAGAAAGTGTCACAGTAAACATCGATGCTATCTTGCTAGGATGGCAAGAGAGAGGAAAAGCTGCAGTATATTTAAAGATGTTTAGTGCTCACTGGAGAAGGAAGAAGCAAATTTTTCTCCACTGCCACCTGCTCATCTTTCCTCATCGAGCACCTCTGTCATTTTCCTCCAGGTTATTGTCCCCAGAGAACCAACTGCAAAACCAGAATCCAGAATTGGAGGGCACGGAAGGCATCATGAGCAGTGAGACAGCAACATATGGATGAGGGAGGTGGGTGCTATCTGATTTCCTTTCCTTTTTAAACTTTAATGTAGTTCCTAGTGCAGCAGCAACTAACAAGGCGGTTTATGAATGCATGCAGGCCAATTATTTGGACTCATGGAAGCTTAGAGAAAAGAGTTCCTGAGAATCTGCTTTTAGAATCGACAGGGAAACACAATGAAAAGAGCATTTCCATATGTTTTGGCCCTCAGCTTTGCAGAAACACATGCTGTTTGAACGGCCCTGGTGGATGACACAACACAAAGCCTAGAAGCAGTGAAATTATCTCAGTAGGACTAAATGAGAGGGTGAATAAGGTATTTCTGGGTATAGTTTTATTAGGGTTCACTAGAGGGACAGATTCAATAAAAATATACATATGATTACACAAGGCATTTAGTGATAGGAAGCAGAACAGTCCCAAGGGACACCTGCTGTACTGGAGACAGAATACAAAATGGCCACCTGAGGCTGGGAAGCCAGGTGATCCTGCAGTGGTTGAAGCCTGACAGCCTGCAAGTTCACTGCAGAGTCACCACTGTGAGTCTGTGTGGGAAAGGGAGAGTCTGGACTCAAAGACTGAAGGAACTGGAGACCAACATCCAAAGACAATGGCGAAGCCTGGAGCTCTTTGTAGAAAAAGGGAGACCCTCAAGTTTCCCTTGCTTCCTATTCTGTCCAGGCTACAAGTCAATTGTCTGTGCTGCCTGCATCCACGGTGGATCTTCCTCCCTCAAACTGCTGGCCTGAATATCAGGCATCCACACACACGCAGCCTGTACTAGTCCACTAGGCTGTTCTAACCCAAATCAAGTTGACATATTATGATAACCCCTCACAATAATGAACACTGAGGTTTAAAGTGGCTACTCAGGAGAGAGCTGAACAAGCACAATCTCCCATCAGACTAGGATGGAATTATCTACTGTGTACCAACAGTATTTTGAGGTAGAAATGTACCAGCTTTAAAATAAAATTGAGTGTTTTTAGATGGTAGTAGATGCACCTATGTTGGAGTGATGTGGAGGACAGTGGCAGCTGGATGCCAAATGGGACACGGAGCTGAGTTGGCCCAATCCAAGGGGGCAGGCGGCAGCCTCCGTCCCTGAGGAAACCAGAGAGACAGGCGCTCGTCATCGGTCTCCACAGTGTCATGTAGTTCAGGCTGGCTTGGTGTGGAGAGCAGCTAAAACTGGAGACCAGTCACAAAACTGGAGATCAATTACACGTGTGGGGCCAGCCACAAATACAGATCATTTCAACTCTAAGAATGCCAGGTGCGGGGCTGGGGATTTAGCTCA